AGTATTGTCATCAAAAGTGCACTTGGTAGAGAGCTGATCCAAACTCTTAAAAGCATCAACTTGATGATCTGGCTCTGGTTCTCTGTATTTAGCAGGTCGACCAAGTATTTCAGCAATTTTACTCTGAGAGAAATCTTCAGATCTTCTGTTTAGTATGTGACTGGAGTTGGATGTGACTTTATTGGAACGTACCATTGTCGATTCCACAACAGATTTTCTTTGCTGGGGATTTCTTGGTGTGGGATTTTCAAACTTTATTGGTTGTTGTAGTAAAGATAATAAGTTTATAGGGTGACAGTTTCCCTGTTTTGGTTTTTCTGGAGATTTGGTTCTGTCTAATGGCTTTGATTTGGAAATTTTATTTGGTTGTTCTTGTGATGGTTCATTGTAATTTAACACTTTAGGCTTTTCTAATTTTGAAATATTTTGTTGATCTTGCTGCCTTTTTGGATTTGACTTTGAAATGTTTTTTTCAGCGTCAAAATCGGGAAGGGAATCTGCCTCAGGATGTTTTTCTGAATATTCTTTATCTTCCACTCCATCAAGTTTATTAAGGAAATTGTAAATTCGTTCATCTAGCTGTCTTTTCTCCCTCATTAGTTGTTTCTGTGATGGTCTAAGTGATTTGGCATTAATACCAATTGAAGAAGTTTCTGTCTTTGGGCTACTAGTGACAGATTTATATAGTTGTTTGTCCATTGGAACAGAGCTGGAATCAAGTAAAGCATCGTGTTCAAGACTTTCAAGATTCAACCTGCTACTTAAATTGCCAATACGAGTGTTCACATGAGTTGAACCCACTAAATCCTGATCTTTATGCTGGCTGCCACTATGACTGTTAGGTTGTGTATGTCTTAATTTAAATTCATGTTCAGATCGCTCCATAGAGTTCATTCTCTTAGATATTGCACTGCCCTCATCCGAATTTTTCCGTTTACGAGTTGGGGTATCATTTTCTTTTCTGTTTACTTCAAGCATGGTAATGTCGCATTCTGATGGATGTGTTGAAGTTTCTGGATCACAAAAATCAGCATGACCTTCTTGTTTTAAAGGGCTGACTTGAAAGCTAGGATAGTAACTAGGCATCTTCTGGCTTGATTTGGCTTGATCTTGATTGATAGTATTGATACTGCTCACAGATGTTAAAGGTTTGCTGCCTGATTGTTGTATACTGGAAGAACTTATAACATGCAGATTTTGTGGAAAACTTGTAGAAACAATTTCAGGATTTTTCTGGGATGTTATTTGGCTTGTAAATTTGATAGGATTAGTGAGACTTGCTACAGCAGTGTTGGTTACAATATGAGACTGGGAGACTATACTACCACTTTTAACATGAATGGGCTGCTGTGCGGTTGAAGCTAAAATAATAAGTACATCATTGGTTTTAGTGCCAACACTAGATGCTGGGATTCGCAGGAACTGTGGGGATACTACAGGAAGTGTTGTACCTTGTTGAGATGTAGCTTGTATTGACAAACCGTGTATACTTTCCTTCGCTTCTTTTGCTCGTTTCTCTTTCAAAATAGTGGAGACAGGTCTACTATCATAGGTTGGTGTTTCGATAGGTTGTTTGGCAATGTTTGTTGGTACGCCTTTAGGTTTAATTGGAGTAAATCTGTTTTTGGTTGATTTTCTAGGTGTTTGTGGTGACAGAGACTTAGATTGTTGTCCTTGGTTATCATGCTTTAAAACTGTAACTGGAGGATCAACAATCAATGGATGATTTTCAGATCGAATTGAATCTGGCATTTCTTGATCATTTTGGATCTTTTCCGACAGTGTTACTGGTACTCCAATATTTGAGGACGGATCATTCAAAAAGGCTAGTTCTTTCCTTTGGTTTGAGACAGGTACAAAAGCACTGCGAGTGGAAGGAGTGTTAGATGGTAAAATAAATATATTGTTTTCACTAGAAATACTTTTATCAACACAGATGGCATAGTTTGATATTGGACCATGATCATTTTCTTTTTCATTTGTATCCATTGCTTGAGATTCGCTTCGATTGTCCTCAATATTCTGACCAACAATTTTTATCACAGATGAATTTTGCACATAAAGATGTTGAGATGACGAAGTAGATGATGTACTACTAGAACGTGATTTATCAGTATATATAACACTATAATTATGATGAGAATTAGCACTATTATTATTATCAGAACACATTATAACACTACTGTCATTATCAGTAGATTTCACACTATTGAGCACAGAAATATCCACCGTATTTCTACCATTAGTAGATATAATACTTCCTTCACTAGAAGTACTCTCGCTTAGAGATCGTTGACGACTTTCTTTATGTGGAGATTGAAGCAACTTTGATATGTCACGTACTGCTCCACCCTTTCCTGACTGGAATGATGATTTAGTGGTTTTTGGCATTGGAGTTAGTCCCTTGGCTTGTAGGAGTTGTTCATGTTCTTGTTCATTTTCAAATCTCTGTTGTTGTAAGATTTTCTTCTGTTCTTTCAGTATTTCCCTCTCTTGAAGTTTTTTCTGCAGTTGTAATTGTGTTTCTCTATGTTTATTGCCAGTGGACGGACTTGAGAACAACACTGAAGCTGGTACTGAAATGAAACACAAACAAATTTAAGTATAAGCCCTATTAAAAACAAAAACATCACTAGAGCCACTCGTGGCACAAATGGGACTTTGCAAATGTAGCAATTTGCTAAAGACCCTGAAAAAATCAACCATCGACGATAATTAGGTTGATAATTTTTTATTTTTTAGAAGATACTAATACTGGAAGTAAACGTCAGACCTCACAAATGAAAGTATCAGCAGATAGCCAAGGTCAATGACCTTTGATCTTGTAAAGGAGAAGGTGTAAAAAGGTCAAGATCAAGAGATATCAGTCATCAAAATTTCTAATTGCACACGACTATAAAACCAGAAGTTGACATAGGACAGCAAATATAAAAGTATAAATAGATAGCCAATGACGTTTGATCCTACAAAGGTCAAGGTCAACAAAGGTCAAGGTCAAAAATTGAAAATTTTGAATTTCCAAAACCTGTTCCTTTTTTAGAACTATGAAGCGGAAACAACCGAACTTCTAAGACAAAGTGGCTCAAAACATGAGATAATTGTATGCAAAGTTCCATTTTGAACAAATGTATACTTTGTGAGTTATGCCCTTGGCCAAAAATGTCAATAATGAGTAATTTAACCCGGTGTGCCACGCCCACCTCAACTTTTTTTTGCATAGGTTAATTGATATTCAAAATGTTATGTCGTGTTCCAAATTTCAAGCTTCTACATCATACAGGTCAAAAGATATAGGTCACCAAAGGTCAACAAAGGTCAAAATTGAAAAATGAAAATATCCAAATGTAAAAAACCTGTTCCTTTTTTGGAACTATAAAGCTGAAGCAACTGAGCTGTTAACACAAACTGGCCAAAAGGATGAGGTAATTATGTGCAAAGGCCCTTTTTGAACAAAAGCATCCTATGCGAGTTATGCCCCTGCCTCTAAATGTAAACAATTAGTACTTCAACCCGAATGTGCCACGCCCACATAAGTTTTTTTGTCATAGGTGAATTCATTTTCAAAGTGTCTAGTTATATTCCAAATATCAAGGTTCTACATCAAATAGATCATAAGATATACATACACCAAGCTCAAAAAGTCGCAAATATTGTAAAAAAAAAAACTCAAATTTGAAAAAATCACGAATTTCAATTTTGCTTTAAAAAACGATTGTTATATATCTATGTAAAGTACACGAGAAGCACATTAGGAAACCGAAAAAATTTTAATTAGGTCACGTGCTAGAGCAGTCCAAAGTTGCGAATTTGGCTTTTTACGGATAGCTATAAAGCCGGAAGTACATGTCGGAGGTCAAAGGTCAAAGTATCAAATGATAGCCAAGGTCAATGACCTTTGACCCTATGAAGGTCAAGGTCATCAAAGGTCAAGGTCACAAGAAATAAGCTTTCAAACTTTGAAAAAATTCAACCGGAAGTTGCGAAAATGCAAAAGCAAAATTCAAAAATCGGCTCGCAACGTTTTGTGAACATTAGACAGCAGATTACATCGACACCAATTTTATGCAGATTTAGTTTATCCCTAAGGACTTATTTCGATTTTAAGAAAATTAGAAAATCAAGATGGTGGCCAAAGTATCACTTTCGGTCTGGATTTTATTTTAAAATCGGCCATAAAATTTTATTTGCCAAAGATCAGCTAAATTTTGTTGACCTACATAAATACACCGGAAGTTATTCAACCGGAAGTAGATTTGAAGTTCAGTCGCTTTCCTGTTTAAAATCGGAAATGACGTACAAAATTTGACTGTATCATATTATTAACATTAGTGAAGTCTCTCTGCATTTAAAAATTTAGATCAATCGATGCAAAAGCAAAAAAGTTGCAAAAAAATCGAAAAATTTTATCGAAAAAAGTGAGCGACGCATTTCGTAATTTTTCAAGTGCTATCAGGTCAGAAATTACAGGTAGATTGTAAAAATGAAAACCCGAAGATTTTCGACTTTTTGCACATGTTGAACTGTGGCACTTCCGGTTTTGCAAAAATGTTCCAATATACATTTAAGAAACACGTCGCCACTACAGAAGGTCTAGAGAAGTTGAATGGTGGCTGCAATTACTGTTGTCTAGGCTCAGGAAGGTGTGTAACTTTCGAAACAACAAAAAAAAGAAAAAAGAATTGACATTTCGATAACAAACTGGGACTTTGCTGAAAGCAAAGTGCCACAATAAACCATGTTAGCAAGGTGCAGATAAGCAAAGACTATAATGTTTTCTTTTTCTTTTTGATCAAATCAGCAACTATTTGAAAGGCATTGAAAGTTATCAAAATTAGATTTCGTTCTATACGAAGATTTCCCGAAATTTAGATCTTTGTAGTGCAGAGCACGAGACAGAGAGCACTTGCTCTTTACACTACCTAGCTTTGTCATTTTTAGTTGAAGGTAAAAGACAAATCAGGTCTGGAATTGACCTTTGATTCAATCATCATTTTCTTCTACTAACCTTTGGAATTATGTGTTCCTGATTCTTGCATTGATGCAAGAACAGTGAATGCTGCCATAGATTTACTGTTGACATAATGATTTCCAACAAGATGTTCAGATAATTCACTAAGACTGTTAAAATGTGAACCAATTAATTTTTGTGCCCATTCACAAACAAGCTGACATGAAGCTAAAAATAGTTCATCTTCTTCGTTGCCTTCATCCTAAAATTAATAAAACAAAAACACTTCATATATCATTTGTGATAATTGACTCATGAAAGCTTAAGATGATTTAGATGCTGGACTTAGTCAAGTGCAATAACTCTAAATCTCTTTAACTGAAAAATTGTCAACTTTGAACTCTTCCATGATCTCATTAAGCCATATATTCATGTGGGCATATATAGCTATATAATATTCTATTATTTCAAACTATTCATAACTCACCTTCAATTTTCGAGGACAAACTTCTAGTTCCGGTAATGCTGGTGGCTGAACTTCTAATTTTTTCCTCAAGCCACTATAGCAATATGTATGACTAGTTAAGGAATATGAATCATGTATGTGAAGATAGACATATTATCAGCTTTGATCATAAGAATTTAAAGATTTGTAAACATGTCTTCTGACCTTAACATACACCAAGAACACTTGTTACAGGTACTTCTATTTGTATCAATTCACTGTTGAATTGAGAACATCATGCCAAGAACATTTTGTGAGGTCACAATGAAAAAGGGGATAGTTTATACAAGAGCCTTCTCAAAGTCATATCAACCATATATCATGACAGTATGCTAAACATCGAAGACAATTAAGTAGAATAATCTCTATTCTATATTTAAATAAAGGATATCTTGATTGTCCACGCTGACCGAGCCTTCTTGCTTTAACATTTGGAAACACACATTTCATAACTTTACCAAAATCAGCAGCACATAAACTCTTTCTATCATGACTGTCACAATACTCTCTGAAATAAAAATTAAGGAATTAAGTAAGAAACCCTTTGTACATCAACACCAACTATGATTGAAAATAATCAACAAATGAGCTCACTGAATGAGCATTGATAGGGAACTAAATCCTACATATTTAATGGTAATTCTTCAAATCACCAGCATTCCTGAATAAAAATAATCCAAAAAACTCAACACAACTGTTTTACTCACTTGTAATCCTCAAACACTTCCTGTTTGGGTACACAGATTTCATTGTCCTCCTCTAAATGACTTCTAATCCATGTAAAAGCTTGAGCCTGCTCTGCACGATTTGATGAATGTAATGCTGAAGTTGGTGTCCTGAAATAATAATTATTTTGTGTGATGATTTCTAAACAGGAATAAACTATAACAAGAAACTTAACTTTTGATATGGTTGATTTGGTATTTATCCTTATTGGACTTTCCAATGTATATCAAAAATCTGTTGAGCTAGTTACATCTCTTATATTAAAGATAAATTATAATTTTACAAGAGAAAATTCAAGATTCATAGATTGAACAAGGTGACGGTTAACAAGTTTGGAAAGTGAACATAGTCACACATAACCATACACTTGGAATCTGCTAACATTCCTGTGTTCATGTTAAAAGACTCCTAATTAATAATAAAAACTACAAACTGAATCATATAATAACTTACTGCCTTAAAACGTCTTCAGATTGAGAACCAGTTGGAAGTTTTAAATATAATAAAAATTTCTCTACATCTGATAATCGATTAACATCACTCTACAAAAACAAGGTAGAATATAACGTAAGAATAAAATTTTCATTGCAATATCATAATTATCATCATCACATCTGATTAAGATGGAGTTCTGATTAAATACATATATTTTTATCTAGGTACTATGAATTCATGTATAATTTTCTTATAATAGATCCCAATTTTTGTGGATTTGCCCCAACAACATATTATTCAAGCAGACACGAATTCGTGATTTCTTATATTTTTGACAATTTTGTTTTCAATTTTTATAAAAAAAAAAAAGATATTACCCGTAATTCAATCAACATTAGGATGCTTAGATAGTATTTCAAATTTTATGGAGACATGAATTAGTGGATTGATTGACTGACCCATACAATCAACAAATTATTTATAGACGACTTCATAGATATCTATGATGGAATGGTGAGTTAATGACTGGTGTGGTTTTGGAATTGAAATTCATGTGTCTCACAATTATTAAAACTCATGCATATATATATGTAATTAAACTAAAAACTTCTGTAACTAATCATCAATTCTAAAAAAAATATTTTATCAAAAAAAGAATTTCATCAACTCAAAAACAAATAATTATAGATATACACCTACAAATTGCATAAGCTTAGTATAATATTTATAATAAGCCTTATATATTATAAATTTAAATGTCACACAAAATTTCAATAATAAATTCAAATTATGCATAAAAATTCATATCCAACTTCATGATCTATATATCATCCAAAACATAAAATGAAAAGCAAAAATCAATATGAAAACACAACTTCTATTATAAACAACAGGTTATTACATTTCGATTTGACACATTAAATTATAACAACATCCCAGTTTGGTTTTTATAAAAACTTATCAACTACTGATGCAATCTTTGTTTTACAGTTGTTAATTAATCGTACCCTTAAACATAAGACAAGGTTATATTGCTGTTTCGTTGATTACAAAAAATATTCAAGTATTATTTAAAATTATGCACCACTGAAAATAAATTATCAAGAAATTTTTAATTGATATGCGATATCAAAGACGAATTTCACCATATACTTACCTGTTCTTATTTTACCGATATTCGTAAAAAAAATATTAAACCATATTATTTTAATAATCCTAGTGTGTATAAGTTAATCCAACTTTTTTCTGTTAAAAATATAAAGGAGCTTTGTAACCTTGGATTGTTTTTATACTTCGCACAAAAATCAAGAAATGAATTTTTAAACATCTAAAATTAATGCTATATTGTTATCTACTCCCCGCTTCTGTATATATTGTATATAACTATGATGAACGGTATATTTGAATTTTTATTATTGTAAAACGTATTGCCTGATGAGTCAAATGGCTCAAAGAATAAAGAACTTCACTTAACTTTATATATCAAAACTGATTTTTATTTTTTTCCCTACTGATTATTCACAAGTAAAATTTATCAGTAGTAATCAAAATTAATTAATTGTTTGTATCGTAGTGTATCCTGATTAGGTAAGCTTAATTAAATCAACCCTCAATCAAATCAATATGACACCTACCAGTATATTGGCAATACGGTCTTTTCCTTCTTGACTAAAAAGATAAAAACAATCACTGTTAATCAAATACTTCCAATTAAATGGTCAATAAAACAAATTAAAACACGAAAATGTATTTCTTGGTTATCAAATGTAAAACAATTATAAGCTCGATGCATTAGTCATTTCTGTTGCATCACTAAGAACTGTCACATTGCATTGTTATTGTCAGCAGACAACCAGACAATGATGCAGACTGGAATGACATTTCTTCAATTTTGACATTAATAATAATTTATAAACAACTATTTACCTGATGGTTGATTCTATTCTCTCCTCAATATTTTCAAGTTTACGTTTGGTAGGGTTATCCCCTGTTTTAGTCATTCCGTCTAGCCCATTTTTTATTTGTTGATGACATTTCCCTCCTCCTTCATTTCCATTGTAAACATTGAGATGTTGTGCCTCAATTGAGGTTGTTTCTGAACTACTACTGTCTTTTTTCTGCCATTTTTGATATTCATTATAAGTTAAGTCATTACTTCTATCATTTATGAATACAGAATCTTGATTCATAGTATTTTAAAGCGAAAATATTAATTTAACCCTCATAATTATCACACATGTAGAATTTACATTCAGAAATGTTAGAAATGATTCATGTACGCATGCGCTGTAATGTCATAAAGCACCTGCCAATGTCGTAATCTATTTTAAAGTGGTATTCAGAATAAAACGAATTGTTCCATCCTTATCAATCAACACATCTCTGTTCAGTGAAAAGAAAACTGTTTGACTAGTATTCTTATAAAATAGAATAATTTTAAACTTTTTTGTTATTCTTCGACAATTACGACATACATTGTTTTCATTCGAAACAACATGGCGTCGAAAAGTGAGAAAACTGTAAGGTTTCATTTAAAACTGAATTAAATCTAATCAAAAGTAGTTAATTTATTTTTTTACACTATATCTGACGGTAGGTACGCCTGTTATATTTTGTTTGTATATTTCGACTGTGTATGCCTGGTGCTTAACTTAACTATTTTATGCGGATTTGTTCGGCCGTCAAAACGTTTTTTTTTTATGATTTCAGACGAGGAATGTGAGACCTTCCAGTGCAAGCAAAAAAGACAATAGGCCTAGTAGTAAAACATCAGATATTCTTAGTAGGGAAGAGGAATACAAGTAAGATTTTGATTTTAACTAGAATAATAATGGTTTCCTATAGATCTTGATTTTAAATTACTGTAGGCCCCATAGAAAAAAAAATTGTTTATTTGTTCAATAAATTTCGAAAAACAGTTTCCATGGCATTGGTTAGTTTGTTCAACATCTTGTTATTCTATAATTATTAACCATTTTAGACGCCTAAATGAAGAATTGGAAGCTAAAACAGCTAGTCTTGTTAGGGAAGCTGAACAAGTCATGGTAAGTTTTTTACAGCATTTAGGCTACTGTTTTGAAGTCTTTAATGTGAGATAACCAATATCCAAATCATACTATCAAGATGCTGATGTCTTTAGATCAGATTGTACCTATAGCAGTCAACATTTCCTAGGTTACATTAAAAAATCAGCCTAAGTCAGAACACCAAAATCATCGTTCCTCAGTATTCCAATCAGAAAACGATATTTTCCAAGGACCAGCCAATGACCACCATCTTGTTGACATGATCAATATGTATGGGTTTTTTTTGATTTTGTGATGCAATCATGATGCTTTAAGCCTCCCGAAGTTTAGTTTTGGTCAAGTGTACTAGAAATAAAGTTTAATAATGCTTAAAAATACAATGGAGTGGTAGGATGGTTCTCTGAAAAGCTTGTATACAATGTAAGATTTCATTATTCTATTTTCAGAGAGGTCAAGAAGCGACCTTGTCTAAATCAAGATTGTTGGATAATATAAGCCCTGATGACTTTTTTAAGTAAGAAATAACAATTTTTCTTGGGTTTATTTTCTCTTGATAAAAGAGAGTATGTGGTCGTTTAAAAATAAAAGATATTTGATCAAGTTTTGTAAACATTAAAAAAAATATTTACCAATGAGAAATTTATATTATTATAACTAACATTTCAGGGATATTGATGATGATCTGACTGACAGAAATGAAGATAGAGCTCAAAGGGTAAATTTATAAAATAGTTTAAAATATTCAGTAAAATCTATAAGACAAATAACAGGTCTAGCCAGAAGAAATTATTTTCTGCACAGAAAAGCAGCTTAATTATGATTTTGTAGTGACTTTCTGGTTTGAAATAGCACTCTAGATACCATAGATGGGTTCGATTCCACCATTTATTTATTTTGATGAGTATACACCAATTGATTTTTTTGCAGCCACCATCAAGACCAGATTCTAAAGTTTGTAATTCTAGACCACAATCAAGAACAAAGAAACCCACTTCTTTAAGGTAAAATAAATTGTGATTTACCATTATTTATGTGCAAAATTTTCTGCAACATCATTAAAATGAAATTTTGGAAAACAAACCTTTTCATGTCTGTGCTGCATTTATGAGTCGTATTATGAACAATGGTGTTTAATAATGATTCCAACAGATTATTATGCTGCTTACATGGTTGAGAATGTTGGTTAAAAGTTTTTTATTTCAGAACCAGATCAAAGAGTGGAAGTAAAAGTAATTTAGCTGATGATGTAGCTGTACCTGAGGATTCATTTCTAACTGATTTAAAGGATTTCTCAATCAGCAATACTATATCAACAATAGAAAAACAGGATTCAACATTAATGGATGATGAAGATGATGATATTATACCTCAAGTGGCCAATGATATGGGATCAGGTTTGCCACCAATTACATTTCACTTCAAATATTCTTTGTAGATTAGTGTTTCTGGGCTGACTATTGAGATAAAACCACAACATATTATTAATAATGGACTATTTGAAACACGAATTGCAGTAAAAAAAATTGTGTGTAGTCAGAAAGGAGGAAATCAACAGTGATATGAGTTCTGTTGAATATTGATTTGGAAGTGTATTTCAATGGTTGCAAATGAGCATGATTTATGATTTATTTACAGAAGCTACAATACGATTTCTCAAAGCTAAATTACGGGTGATGCAAGAAGAATTAGACAGACTCTGTCAAGAGTGTAGTAAGAAAGTGAGTAGTAATTGTTTTTAAAAAACCTATTCTTTCTTATCTAATTGTCTAAAAGCACCTTAATTTGACTAGCATTTAATTTTCATCTCATTTCCAAACTAGCTGTCCTGATAAGGTCTACTCATGTCAACAGCATAGGATGAGTTGTTATCAAAGATAGTAAGGGACTGTATATAACATGTAAATGGAAATAAATCACATTTGGTAAAGAAGAGCACAGATATTTGTACATATCAGGGGACCATTTAATACATGATCATACAAACAATTTGCTTGATTTTTTAGTATTGTTTGCATGAACACACTTTATGTCTGCTAGAGTTTCAATTGCATTTATTCTTCCTCAATCTAATCATTCCTAGATGCCAAAAGATTTTTGATGGCTATATTGATGTGTCATATGACAAAGGTATAATTGATGGTATGTTATAGGAAGAAGAGAATCATGGGGTAGCTTCTAGATTAAAAGAAATTGAAGAAGAGAGAAACAGATTACATAGAACAGTGGCTTCACAACAAACACAAATAGATAAATATAAGAAAATAGCGGAAGATTCCAAAAATGTTTCTGACAGTCTACAGAACCAACTTTCAGCTTTACGCAAAGTAAGGCATTGAAATAGCATTATTTAGGATTTTAAATGAGAGTCTTATCACTATGCTGTGCCCGTATGGCATGGAAGATATATTCTAAAAACCCCACCAAAATTTACTAGATATGAAGCTAGGTTAATGTTGACTCAGACCAACACAAAAGCAAGATTTTTGTACCTAAATGGAAATTGCTAATTAAATGCATTTTGTAGATATATATACTTGCACTTGGATTAGGGGATGAGGAGAATTTTTGTGGCATTAGCCTACTCTTCTGACATTTTACCCAAAATTGACATAATTAAAAAATTCAAAACTTTCAGGAAAATGAACAAATGAAAAGGACATCTAAACAACACACAGCAAATCAAAGTGCCACTGAAGTACGATTAAATAGAGCTTTAGAAGAGATAGAAAGATATAAGGAGCAACTACAGAAAGCTAAATCATCATCAAAGGTAAGAAAAATGCCAAGTAAATCATATGTCTTCAAACAGTAAAGAGCTCTATCAGGTGTTAATAGAGCTAGGTAAATTGGTCTAGTTACAGATGTCATCTGCAAACATATCTGCTGCAAAGCCTGGAAACTGTCATCACTTTAGCCAGATACAGCAGTTAAATTTCAGACAAACTACATGTCACTTCTTTAATTTTCAAAATAATGCAGGAGTTGAAATGAGTTAGCTTATAATAAACAGCTGTATGTCTTTAGAACTAATATGAAATTGTACTCATGTTTTTTAGGATGTAACAGATCAAGAGAAACGAAGGGTTGAACAACTTGCGAATGAAAATAAATTACTACAAAAACAAAAAAATGAGTTAATGACTGGTTTTAAAAAACAGTTAAAACTTATTGATATACTAAAAAGACAAAAGGTAACAATAATGTCAGAAATTTTTAAAAACTTTGTATGTATGTTTTTGGTTGACTTAAACGATTTTTTATGTGAAAGTATAAGAAACATTTCATATCAATGTAACTTAGGATTTGTTAAGATATCTATATCCTTTCAGAATCTTTTGCACAAAATTTTTTCTGGGAGATAATACATCACATCAAAGACATTTGGATGGAAATGTTTAATTAGTCATTTATAATATAGATATAAAGGTTTTGATTTGATTTGTTGTAGATGCACATAGAAGCTGCTAAAATGTTGCAGTTTTCAGAAGAAGAGTTTGTGAAAGCTTTAGAATGGGGAAACTAGTATTTAAATTCATACTATATATTTGTATACAATAACTAAATAATTATTTTTTTTTAAAATGTGCTCCAAGAGCTTTTGTCTTGCTGCATGATAAAACCCCAAAGAAATCAAAAATTCAAAAGCTAAGTAAAGACTGTGACAAACATGTTAAATATTCCTGGTGATAGGCAATAGCAGAAAAGTTGTTACAATTTGATTGCCAGCTTTTATTGATGATAATCAGCATGATGAATATTGTTGGAGAATTTTATAGTGTTCACATTTGTATTTATTGAGTGTGTCATCCTGAAATAATAAAATGGATTGCAATACATTGAGTCTGTTGTGCAACATTGATGTTGATTGTCATCTTGACTTTTTTTTGCTGCCATTATAAAAAAAATGTGAGAAGTAGCACTTTATTATCACAGCACTGTCATATTTTACAAAATTCACTAAATAATCAGTCTCTAATCAGTCATTCTTCATTCAACAACAACTAGGTTATCTAAATCACTTCTTGTCCAGGGCATTTACAGCCTTATCATATGCCTTCTTTGCATATTCCGGTGTGTGTTCAACTCCCGAAAAAAATGTCTTCACTCCTGAAAGAAAAATAAATTACAAGGGGTCACTTTATAATTTGGATTTTAGTGTATCAAGCAATAAAGGTAAAGCCATGTGTTATTTGACACATATGCATAAAAAAAATACAAACAACATAATTTCATATAAACGGCAACACAATTTAATTTCAGAAGCTGCAGCAATAAATTATTACCACAATTAATACATATTCACCCATAGGAAGTGAGCAGTCTATTTTATTATGTTTTTGTGTGTAATCAGACTTACCAGAATTCCATGTCTTTGATAAGGAGCTGCCAACATCGGATGCAGAAGGAGCCTGAAATGAAGAAATTTTGAATATAGTCAATTGAATCGAAGTGTAATGATATGTTAAAGCTGCAATTGCTCAGAACTTTACCTAAGCTTGTAAATTCTTTACGTATTTTGAACCCATGACACCATTTACACCATTTAAATATAAACAATACAACTATAGTAGATATAAATCCCTTATTCCTTTCAGACAGACTGATATTCCAATCCATTTATGAAATAGCCAATACCTGAGTCTGAGACAAACATTTTGATTCTTTAATAGGATGACATTATTTAGGTATTAATGATATGCTGGATCCTGCGAAACTATTACTGCCACATGTCCAATTTTCCTTAATTTCCCCTATACCATAATATATTCATTGAAATTGTCATTTAGTGCAAGGAATATACCAGTAGTAGTACGGTACCTTTTGAAGATAACTAGTTGTTTCAGGTAAAACTGATCTCTTGACCTTCTCATAGGCTTTTACACCTTGGTTATTAGAACCCCATACACCTTGTTGTACTGTTATATAAACTGCTCCTACTCCCAATCCTATCTTTGTCAAATTCCTAAAACAATAATCAATAGGCTATCTAAAAGAATATTCATCATACGACCTTTGCCTTTGACTTTAATTTCATGGAAATTAAGAGTAACTGTATGGCTGGCTGCTTACATAGCTAGACCAGTGCTCAGCATTACAAAATATGTCAATTTATCATTTTTGGCAGATAAATAAGACAAGAGGAAGGGTTTGTTCAAGAATCATCACAAATCAAATGTAACCTGAATTATCTCCCCTTCACTCTCGATACATCATTATATTTCTTATTTTTATCTGAGGCGTTAAGGAGGAGACATCTTGGAATTACATCTTCTGAGCTTTTTAGTTTACAAGCACACTGAAGTAGTAGCCAGATAATAATCGTACCAGTCTCTTCTAATCCATTTGAAAGAAAAGAATAATATAAGTATATTTACTTGACGATGGTGGCTGCCATTTTGTTTTAATTAACCTTTTGAACACTTCCGGTTGTGTTCGATTTAAGTATTCATGACCATTATTGGTATACTGAAAAAATAATCGAAAAAGCTTAGCCAGTAAATTTGACTAAAAAAAATGTTGAATAAAGAATTTTAAAATCCATTAGGATTAGCTTCGTAGATTGCTCAGAGGCATAGTTTTCGCATATGGAGTAAAAGCTTCTCAACATACATTGGCGAGGAATAAGATACCACAACACAGGGGGCTGTTAAATCGACCATTAACAAGTTGGTGGCTACAAAAGGGTATAAAATGGAGACAAATACAAAGACAATTCCAATTGTCACAGATCCGCTCTGTATACTACTTAAAATGATAGAAAAGACAGTGCTCGACTCTAATCCACTAGGCCACCGAGATCCGGGTTAAGACTTTGGGTAACTGGGGTTAACCCTAACTAACTCCGAGGGCACCCTCTATTTTTTTTCAATTAGGGTTAGCTCAGGAGAGGGTTCTAGCATGTTCAAAGATATAGTTTCCGCTTATCGAATGAAAGAGAACTTCGTTGCGCATCTTCTCAACACAGATTGGTGAGGACAAAATGAACTTTGGGCTTTAACTATGGTCCTTCAAAGATTTTTACACTGTCCGAGAATGGCTCAAATGGAGGTTAAAATATGGGCAAAGGAAATTAGGGTTAGCTAGGGTTAAGCCATTTCAATTGTCACATATCCGTTCTGCATACTTAAAATGATAGAAAAGACAGTGTTCGACCTCAAAAGCAAGCAAGCGCTAAAACCACTAGAGTTGAGTTACGTGGCCTTTTTTCAAACTCAATTAGGGTTAGCTCAGGAAAGGGACTTAGCTTGTTCCAAGATATGATTTCAGCCTATCAAATGAAAGAGCACTAAGTCTTCGTTGCGCATCTTCTCAACAAACATCGCGAACGGTGGTTAAAGGGGTTAAAATCCGTTTTATATACAGTACTTAAAATGATAGAAAAGACAGTAGGCGAGGTCTAACCCTTTCCATTGTAGGTCAGAACATGGATATTTTTCCATAGACCTTTAATTCAAATACGCCACGCGAAACCATCAGCTGATCAAAATTTACATTGACTTCTTATGGGCCCACGAAAATGGATGATCAATACGGATTATATAAACTATGAATTATAGTTGACAGGTCAATACATTGCAACATAGTTATGTGATTATTTTGTTATTACCCTAATAGGGCTATATCTATTTTTTTGTTTAAATTGAATCTGCAGTCTGAGAGTAAATTACGTTATAGTTTGGTTGTGTTAGTTGTGGGAAGTAATCAAGATGTACTTCCAAAAAGATCTGATAGCATCATTGTCAAATTCAGTTTTTTGTGAATTAAACCTCAGATATGACAATTTGAAAAGAGTTTCCAGATCTACTAAAATCTTGACTGTGGGGCCAAGTTGACAAATTTAGACGCAGTGTGTCATAGGATGTTTGAGAAGAATGAGTATGCCCTGCTTCTTTAGCAACATCCAATGCTATTCTTCCTTGCTCAAACAAACTGATGGGTACTCTTATTTGCGTTTCTAATCCAGTCGAATCGACTAGGCTATAGCGAGGCCTTCATAATCCAAATTTTCTTACCGCTCTCAAAAATAAAAATGGAATCTTAAAAAGAAATAAAAAAAAATCATCACACGTTATTATGTGAAATATTTCGAAATGCTTAACACATATTTAACTGAAGAAGCAACAATTTCGGTTAATTTCTATAATAGAATTTTTTGATACTTTCTGTGCTCATATAAGTTACTATCACCAAAAAGAATTACTCAGATTAAGCTTAATGCTGCTTTCATCCTTCTTGAGCTAGGCTATAATAAGGTACAGAATTTCAATAAATTCCAATCTTGCATTCCTTGCTAAATCACTATCTACATTTGACTGTAACATATTTTGAAATATGCGACATATTATTCGTCAATTATTCTCCGAATCTCATGTTAATCACACTTTCTTAAATATTAAATACCGGTAATTATAAACTTTGCGAATTTACGCAGCATTTTACGTGGTAAATAGCCACTGCCTTCATTGGGCATTATAATAAAGTTTTAGTTGGGCTATAACATGAGATTGTCTGTCCATGATCATGATCCATTTATTGGCACTGTGCTGCAATCTACAAAAGGCATTGCCGTTGGGGAATCGTGGCTCTGATACTTTTAAAATCTTTGTCCCTTTAATATGTTGAGACAGTCGACCAATCATTATATAAGACGGCAGTGAAAGGCACACGTGAGTATAAAATCACTGTACGATAAACCTTGCAGTGTTTATATGAGGCGAAAACCGGGGCGACGAAGGTCGCTTTGGTAAACTTATTGTGATCATAACAAAATACTTTCATAAGGTAAGTAGAGTTGACTTTTTCTACTGCAGTAGCCTATATTAAATTATCACTGTCAGTTCTTTTTAAGCGATGTGTTAATAATATAGGTCTACTCGACGATTCTCCTCAGACGACTGTCACATTTTGATACACTCATTACAAAACTTAGTGTACTGTAAGTGTAAGAAATAATTGATTGCCATGACAATTTGCCACACTTAAAGGGGTTCGAACAAGGGTAGTAGGCCTATTTTTCTGCCATTATTCAAGGGTATGTCCAATAAGTTTTACCCCTTTTGCATTGCACTGAATATTGTTAGAACCGAAAAGAATAATCCGCTTCAATTTGATTCAGTTTAGCTTACTTTTGCACTACAATCTTATCTGGATGGCTTCTTGGCACTGCCAAATAAAGTTATCTTCTAGGTAGCAATATCATTTTCTGTTTCCTCTTCGATGCAAGCTTTCTTTCCGTACTTTGTTACGGGGTTATCTTTTTCTTGTGAGTTTATTTGCCACTGAATTTTGTCCTATACTGGATATAGAACTGAATTACTTTTCCAGTTTGAAAGTTGTATTAGTGTTATAGATTTTGTACAGAAAATGTTAATTAATAGGCTTATTTCAGTCAAGAATAGCTTAAATAACTTCTGACTGTGATGTACATTTATTAGGCTTACTGAATCTTTGACTTTATAATTTTAATCGAGTAGGCCTAGGCCAAATAATTGATGTAAATTATATACTGAAAATGTTTATTATACAGGCTTAATTTAATCCAGGCCACATAGGCTTAAGTGATATGAATTTTATTTAAAAAAAAAAGATATTTTTGAAAAGCCTCTTGGCAGCACGAGATAATCTTACATTATTAGTTCTACCAGTGCTAAAAAGACTAGGCCTAGTCCTACCTGTATTTCATATTTTTAACATTTATCTATTGATTTTTCTGCAAGAGAAAACAATTTTTTGTCAATTATTTCTGGTTTAGTGAAAATGTAGATAAAAAGTAAGTAAAAGGTCTATTATTTATGTGTAAACAATCTAACTCCATTGACAATCTCAACAAGCTTTTGATTTGAAATCTAGGATCATTAAGACATGTTTTTTCCATCTGGTGAAGTTTTGTGGTCAATTACTATACAGGTTCACTTAGTACAATGTCAGTGAATTGAGATCTAGGTGGTCCTCTTTTTCTTTTGTAGTTTGAATGAAAACACAAACATAGTCTTCGTTCATGTGATTTTTCACATTTTATCAACATTTTCTTGTTTCTTTCATTTCTTGATTAATAGTTTTTGAGTGACCATAGAAGCTCAGTAAAAGTTTGAATCAGTATCATTTGGTAAGAAAGACAATTTCATCTCTCTTGTGTCCGTCTCAATGTGAAGCATACTATGTTGGTGGGGATGGGATAGAAAAATGTTTTACAATGAAAATATTCAAGTTTTATCTTTAAAACAACCATGTTTTATCTTTTAAATATTCATGTTTTATCTTTGAAACAATCATGTTTTATCTTTAAAATATTCATGTTTGATCTTTAAAACATTCATGTTTTATCTTTTAAATATTCATGTTTTATCTTTGAAACAATCATGTTTTATCTTTAAAATATTCATGTTTTATCTTTGAAACAATCATGTTTTATCTTTGAAACAATCATGTTTTATCTTTAAAATATTCATGTTTTATCTTTGAAACAATCATGTTTTATCTTTAAAATATTCATGTTTTATCTTTGAAACAATCATGTTTTATCTTTGAAACAATCATGTTTTAGCTTTAAAATATTCATGTTTTATCTTTGAAACAATCATGTTTTATCTTTAAAATATTCATGTTTTATCTTTAAAACTTTCATGAGTTATCTTTGAAACAATCATGAGTTATCTTTGAAACAATCATGTTTTATCTTTGAAACAATCATGGTTTATCTTTGAAACAATCATGTTTTATCTTTGAAATATTCATGTTTTATCTTTGAAACAATCATGTTTTATCTTTAAAATATTCATGTTTTATCTTTGAAACAATCATGTTTTATCTTTAAAATATTCATGTTTGATCTTTAAAACATTCATGTTTTATCTTTAAAACTTTCATGAGTTATCTTTGAAACAATCATCTTTTTAT